TCACCTGTGGCGCTTTCTTTGACAGTGTATATTCTCATCAACTGACTTGCAAAAGTGGTAGGTTTAAGTAGAACCTAAGGTTGACGGAAACTCGGGAACTGCGCCTACCTGATGAGCCCAGAGTGGAAGGGCGAAACCGGTTGTGGGTTTTTAAAGAGTTTTCAGCAAATAGTATCCCATACTTCTGTTTTCAAACTCTTAACAGACCAACAGGGTATAAATTATACTGGCTACTGTCATACCAAAATGTGTAAACTAGGCACAAGTCGTCCTTAGGTAAAAGATGGCCTCATCATGAAGCACTACACTACGGAGCTTCATCCTGTTGAAAAACCAGGAACTTAACTCCTTTGTTCTAAATGAATCTCCCACAGTCAGATCTTGAAAATCGTTCCTGTGCATGATTAAACTTCTTTACAACGACGTGTACAATATTTATTCTTCGGTCTATTCCCTGAGCAGTGAAACTTGGCGTTAGCATCAAGTTCTCCGCACACTGCTCACTCCAACTCCTGTATTTCGGTTAGTTTACGAGGCCAGAGCTCTGGCAACAGTTGGTTTTAGACTTCAAGGACTTCTTTCAGAAACATGACAGCCTGGAGAGAGCAACCCAAACGTGACCCTGGCGACCGAGGTCAGCCTTGACGCGAAGACAGCGTGAATGTTTGCCACACTAGTTCAAACGCTACTCAAAATGTCGCCACCGAACCAACACTGAATAAACAACTTATGATCCCCCGGCTGCGATTTAATGCACCGAAATTTTGGGCCAAAATTGAGCAAATAGTTAATGTGAACCAACTCATTGGTTTGCAACCTAATCCCGACCTCGACTCAAATGGTTGAAATTTGTTTAATACGGAAGACAGCAGCAAACAACGAATAGATAAGTATTTTACGTTCTGCGAGAACAAACGGGTCTGATAGATGCTTTGGTCCGTGCATGCATGTGTCTAGCTTTTGATGGACGTCCACTATAACATATCCGTTTTTCAAACATTCACATGGTTGTTAAGGGACCTACTTCCTAGAAAACCGAGCTGGTGCATTTCTTTGTCTGTCGTGAAAGCCAAATGAAACAGTGCCTGTTTCTCTGCAATAAATCAGGGCAGTTTTTGCAGATCTTGCGTCTTATTGGAGTCAGTGTTGTGAATTCGACCAAAATTTGCTCAAGGTTTTACGGCTGTTTGCTCAAATTGTTAGCCAACGAATTCACTGACAACCGCATAACTGCTCCGTTCATGCAGAGGGATTAGTGACGAGCAATGTATTGGTTGATTTGTCTGTTCCTTTATTACCAAAACTGGGACAGCTCATCCCAACTGACTGACGACTTCTGGAAAACATTAATCCGTATCCACATGTCAGTATCCTTAGAAATGCTTTAAAAACATGACCAGAAATCTGGTGATGTTTAGAGGTTCAACGAGGACACTGCTAATAAAAGATATTAACCGCTACCAGAAGAAAATGTATACAGTATTGATGATTTAGAACAAAGTTTCAGATTCCATCATCCCAGCTGTGTGTTCCGGAACCAAACTAATAACCATACATTACAAGGCGAAACAAAGCTCAGTTTTGCGCTCTTTGTCACAGACGGATTAAGGCAGTCCTGTCTAGGTAGAAAACTATGGCTATCTTAAAAAACTGAGGTGAACACTAACCAGCTACCGCAACTCCCCGCTGGACGTCAGCTAACACCTGAAAAATAACAAAATTTGGATCAGTTGAAAATGATTTCCCAATACGAGACAGCGAATACTCCAGGTTTATAAACAACAAACGAATCTTCAGTCAAACAGCCAAATTTTGAACATATTTCCTACTTGTGTACGTTCGATTATCGTCTCTTTATGTCAGCCAAGAAATCACAAGAGGCACTAAAACCCGAAAACTAACAAAACTGCTCATTGGTACTATGCAAGTCCGTCGGTGGACTTGCCATCAGTTCATTGCTCTTTGTCATCCATTGTCCCATCGTTATTTGACCAGCTGCTTGGCCTCAGGTATGACCAATACGCAAAATTTCGCTTGTGTTCATATGCAGAAGTAGTTAAAACTTGGAAAATCTTCGTAGCCCTTGTGGTGATTTGTGATGAGTCACAGTGGTAGTCATAAGTAAAATGGTCTTTTCAACTCGCGAAATGTGCCCTAACTTTTAAGCAGCTTGCGAGCCATAAAAACAACCTTGTTAGTGAGTCTAACTCGACATCATTGATTTTCGAAAAATTTTGGTGACGATTGGTGGATTTATTGCTGCGCAACGTTTCGCTTTCGACACAAAAGCTTCGCGAGGCCAAGTGACCAGGTTCCGAGGTTGGTCGAGATTCAAGGCGGAAGGAGAACCAATCAGGTAAGTCAAGCTAAATCTCTGTTCTTTGTCGACCGAGGGATTTTTGTGTGTTAGGTGGATGAACAACTGTTGGGCCGACGGGGAAACCTACGTGTGTTTGGGTCCAGTCTAGGGTCTAGTTCTTCTGGTTCGGTCCGTTTGGTGATCCATCTTAGACATCTTTTAACTTTCTGTCCGTTTGTGTGGATGAGCTAGTGCTAAAATAGTTGCGGGATGCTGTGAACTCTGGTCGGGTTGGGGTTTCCATCCCCGCCCCCTGTTTTTGCCAATGATTCTATGTGGATTGACAACCACACAGTCACGTGTCAACTCGGCATATCGAAGACCGCTTTCCATATTCTCGCGAGTTCCACACCCTCGATTCTATTCACGCTGTGATGCTTAGTAATTTCCACCGCATCGGTTATCAGCCGCTGTGGTGTGAATCCCCCATAGATTTGTGTTGCCCATATTTTTTACCTCCACCCATACCCGCTATTCACCTTGCCTCGTCCGATAGTCGTATATAAACATGTGTGGGCGTATGCCATTGACCTGCTTACCTACACTTGTTCTGTCGGTATTTCCGCGCGATCGCGCTGTCAGTCACGGAACCGGCCTCGGAGGGGACGACCGCAATTCACACTAGGGAGCTGAAATCCAGCTTGCAGTTGTGCAGACCCTGAAAGTGCGCTGTGCCGGTCAGTGACAGAGTGGCGTAATTGTCGACTCCACGGACATGGACAAATTAGTTTTGTTGTACAATTTTGCTAACCATTTTGTAAATGGTAGCGTTAACTTTTGAACCCAATTCTTCTACTTGCTATTCAGGATTGTCAAACATATTAGTGACTCAAAGTTCAGCATACTAAAACATCAACATTTTTTTGTGATTAAAAGCACTAATTTACACATCCGTCGAGCCCTAACGGGAGGCTCAACAGCTATATAGCTCAACAAAACGGTACCCAGTATCCCTTCAAAGATCCGAGTATGCATTAGTAAGAAATTGCCTTGCTTAAATGCCTCGAAACGACCTGCAGCCACACTGGATCATTTTGGCATCCAGAGTAACTGTTTGTTGAATTGCAAGGTTTGAAATTCAGTTTCGTTGGAAATCATGTTAGGTAAAAACCACTCTAAGGCATTTTTCAGTCGTTGACCTTTATGAAAAAATGAAATGAAAAGTAAGCTGTTCGCTGTGGAGTTGTTTACTAAAAAACATCAAATAAGCAGCCGCTTGAGCTTTCCTGGATATTCATTGACTATCACGCAAATGTAAACGAATGCTACAAAGCAATCTCTCAAAATTCTGTAGTTAATCCCACCTCCCATATGATCGAGGCGGAGTTACTAGAAACCACATACTACTCGCATACCTCATGATAAAGAACGTCAATGCCATTGATATCTGTTTTGTGTTACAAAATTATATACCCTGGTTCTGAGCCTTACATAATATACCAAACGACCTTTGTCAAACAAAAATCAAAAAGCCAATTGGATTTGTTACTTTTTAACAACTATTTGAATGTTTGTTTGATACTGATTAACAGCGTTTTATTAGATGGGCAGTGTTTGTGCCTTGTATTTAAACACATTAGACAATGACGACACAGATATTAATCAAGTACAACGTTTGTAGTAGTTGAATTAAAAGACTATTTTAGTGTTGGCTAGAAGGTCTCTGTCTCTCTGTCAACCGACCCTCTCTCGAAGGACTCCGAGGTATATGCTGAACGATGTATTTTCACGGTAACTCGATTCAATTCCAGTTTTCGAAATAGGGTGACAACAAATTCGCTTATGCCTTTTTTGGTTGAAATTCATTTTGCCCACTGATTCCGCGGTACAGTTTACAGAACCGGGAGAACGTGTTTGTATTAGGAAGGAAGACTCCATTCATGAGAAACGAGTGTTGGTTCTTCGACTGAAGTTGGCTAGTCTGAATTTTCTACTTTAGCTGCAGTCTCTTCTACGGAATTGCTCCGTAATGTATCGAAGGCATTTTGTGGTGAATGTTGGACGTTCAGATCCTACTTCTATAGTTGCGGTCATGTAAACACTTAAAAATTTCATTCACTTGCGGCTGTCTAATTAAACCAACCGATCGAATATCCACAGATTCGTTTTTGTTACTTTTCCTTCACAGTGGCACTATCGCACCACCTCTACTTATGAGTGTCGACGTTTCATCCAACATCTAAAAAGTACACGCAAGTCTACTGTGACTGACAAAATGCCAATACTGATATAAAGTTGAACGGGATTCCTCACATTATTCAGACACTAGTGACAATGCTGCCCTGCTGGTTCGGTTGCAGATAACAATCTTTGCCATTAAAAAGTTGTGGCACACCATTGTGTGGAACACCATTGGCCTGTTTTCTTCTCATTTCCGGAAACCTCAATCTTTTCGCTGGTTGGTCAGTAATTTCCCGCGCAAGATAAATCGATTATTTAGACCAATCGTAATTATTCCGTTCGAAACATCCCAATATGTCTATTTATTTCGGTGCATCGCCCAGAAGTCACTGCAGCGTTTTGTAAAGCCTTTCCTCATATCACATACAAGTTTGTGCCATGTTTGTTCATGAACCAATGGCATATAGCACAACATCGCACAATCCGTGTGTAAATAAATTGCACAGTGGACACTGAACATATGACCGATTCATTCCAAGCGGCTGCCTCCGGTAATCGCAGGCTAAGCCAAAATTCACAAGATAGAAAATCACCTATTACAACTAATCGAGTCACTGAACCGAGACAATCAGAAGATATACATCTCGAGTCACCATACACTAGGGAGCCTAAAGCAAGAACCCATTCCGACAACGGTTCAGGAGAGAATAGTCCACCGGGATATGAAAATGCCGACCTTCAAAACTATGAGGACGTAGTCACTCTTCATGTACCTCCTAAAGAAACCATTTGGCTAAACACCAGCAGCCGGCAAAGTCGTTTTCGTCGGTGGATTAACGGACTACGAAAACCAAGAATCAAAGTTAATGACCCGGTGGAGGTGAACAGCGTGAGTGATTCTGGAAGGCCTCTTTATGGAAACGAACCAGATCAAAGGACAACAGACAACGTCTGCATGCAGCAAACAAACCCACTGAACGGGTCGGCCCAATCGGATAACTACTGGAATCAAAATGAAACGGATAAACCCCCGAGTGATTCTGAAAAAGATCAGATGGTATGGACCACCAACTTCCTGGCTGCACTAAGTATTTTGCTGATTGTGGTCACCTTTCCATTCTCACTTATTTACTGTATCCGAATTGTGGCCGAATACGAACGCGCTGTTGTGCTCCGCATGGGAAACCTCATTCCTAAAGGTCGCGGAACAAAAGGTCCCGGGCTGTTCTTTATTCTCCCCTGTATAGACAGTGTACGAAAAGTTGACCTTCGAACGGTGACCTTTGCTATTCCACCGCAGGAGCTTTTGACGCGTGATTCTGTTACCGTGTCAGTGGATGCGGTTGTGTATTACAGAGTGTTGAACCCCGTAGCCTCTGTGTTGAACATCGAAGATGCAGCTCGATCCACACGCTTGCTGGCACAGACAACAATACGCAATGTTCTGGGTACCAAAGATTTGGCACAAATACTGATGGACAGAGATGAAATATCTACGGCCATGCAATCCAGTCTGGATGCCACAACAGACGCCTGGGGCGTAAAAGTGAGTTACCTTCGGTCATTTTTCACCTGATCGTTTCGGGCCATTCTTCTGACATGTGAGGGCTAAAGCAAACCGTATAAAGCACTTTTATCCAGAGATCAGTAGCAAGTTAAAGGAAAAGTTGGTATTTTTCTCGTTTGTTGATGTAAGTGTCACGATAAACACTGCAACCAAAAACAAATGTCCTATTTCTGCGAACTAATTTGTCAAACTCAATAAAAACTACCAAAATGCCAATAGACCATACAAGGAAAGGGTAGGTCCTTGGAAATGGAAATAAGATCCAATTATGTTTTCGAGACCTACACTCATTTGTAAATCAATTTGGTTTTCAGAAGAGACTCAACTGAATCTACCGTTTATGATATTCTACAACTGAATGTGCTGCACACAGGTGGCCTCATGTTTCAGTTGGTGTGATATTCGAGATATCGCAGTATATTCTCATGAAGGAAACTACTCACAAGGTTTCTGAAAACTCTTCGTTAGCCCACGACTGGTTTCGCCTTTCTTGGGGCTCATCAGGTAGGCGCAGTCCCCAATCCAATTATGTTTATCTGTGAACGTAAAAGTGGAACACAGCATTATCTGGATATATTCAAGGAAATTGTAGCGCTGTTATTCAATTTAACCACCATTTATTGGAACTTATGAAAAAATGATTGTCGATTCACCAAAAACACCAAAATTTAACTCATGTATTTGATGTAAGATTGGATAAAATATAACTGGTCACCAAACTGTCATTTGCGTGTGAATGAATGATCAACCGACGGGAGGGAGTGCAGTACCTCGTACAAAAAACTCATTGTGGACTTAAGTTCTATACGTTTTGTGTACAGTTTAATTGTTGTCGTGGTCGAGGAAGGATGTTTAGGTCAGTAGATGTATGCTCACTGAAGATCAGTCTGCAGTTATGTCCGGCTTGAAAATCTAATCGCATTTTATGATTTTTACACCAAGGACATATATCGGAATTTTTTCCAGCTCAGATGCATTCATTAGCGGTCAGTCTCGTAGCTGTTAATCTGTTCGTCAGGCTTGGCAATTAGCCTACGCAAGCTCATTTCCAATTAATCGCTAAGCCCGGTAATCAGACCAACCAGCCACCGAATCTTACACCTTACCTAGCGGGAAACTTTACTGTGTACTAATTGCGCCTGCAGTAACATATGGAAAATGTACAGTTTCCTAGTCTGATTGAACTTAGAACAACAGGTAAACTGACGAAATACACGCATTTGGATGCCAGTTTGGTTTGGACAGGAGGCTCACCTAGAACCCGGTTGAATCGATCTTTTACGGTGTTCTTAAGCAACCAAATGTGCTGCACCAGGCCGCCTTATGCTTCAGCTGACCGTACGTTTTACCAGATAAGTTATTTTCTGATTTCGAACGTTTACAAAAAATTCTAACGTTTACCAACGCACGCTGACCATAAATTCACACGCATAAAAACGCGAGCGCTTCGCCAAATATGGTTAACAATAGTAGGTTTATATTGTCCATCCATTTTACAAGTTAATGCAGCGAAAATTCTGATAACAAGTCAACCACACGAAGTCGGACAAATGATCAAAGTAAGCACATATTGCACACAAGAAAACCGGTCGGGCATGCAGACTCCTGAGCGATTGCTGTTCGACGTGTAAGTCTTTGAGGCCGAGTGAAACTCGAGGAAACAGGATCTGTGGGTAGACACGTAAAATTAGTTGGGAGCTATTCGTCTGGTGGCTTAGCGATTATTGCCATCATTAGTTCTGTTAAATCAAAACCCGTACACATCAGTTACATCAAGCCACAGCAGCACAGCAGATTTCCTTGACGTTGCTTGCCGAAACAACGCCTTACGAGGAAAATAAATTACCCTGCCATTTTTTGGGAGAACAGACTTAAAAGTTATTCTGTTACATATACATAGCATACAACTATATATACTGTCGTATAATAAAATCAAACATGAACTGATAAGCATCGAGGTGAAACTACCACGAACAATTTACCAATGATTCCTTTGGGATTATTGGTGCAAAAATTGTAATCGTTTTGTCAGGTTCTTCTTAGACGGCGCGCTCAATCTATGCAAATGTGCTTTTACTAGACCAACTACCCTGCTATTCAAACCTCTTGAAGCCTGCACAAATAGACGTTGAGCATGTCACATCAGAGTTCACCAGAATCTGTGGTCAAAATAACAGTTTTCAGGCTCATCTAATGGATGTTGCAATAGGGGGTTTTCAAGAAGTGCCTGCGTTCGTGCTCCATTTTTGTCCGACCTTGGGCCTATTCCGGAGTAGAGTTTTCGGTTATGTTCCCCAACGTGACCCATCAAGCGTACATACTTAATTCTGTCGAACGCTTTGGAACACAATTTTTGGAGCTCCGTTTTTCGGAATCCGGCGGAATATCCTGTTGAGCGTTCGAATGTTCAATCACTAGATCCTCCGCATCCTGATCTCATACTGTGATGAAGACAGTGCAACAGCCTACCAGACTACAAACTTTGTATCTACAGGCCGAGTTCGATTTTAAAATTTTGAGCAGAGGCATGAGTGCCGCATTCCGCTTAACATTCTGACCGCATAGTTCATGATCATCGCCCACATTGTGGAAATCTAGAACTCCTGCAGTGTTGATTTGAATGGAGGTTGTCCGCTACTGTAAATCCTGAAGGGACTACAAAAATGCTTCTGGCACACCTATTTACAACAAACAAATCGCTTGGGGGAACTTTGTCGTGTTTTTCTGGAGCGCCTCCAGGATAACACGAATAAAACTCTTTAATCCGTTTATCTTTATTTTGGCAACAAATCGGTCCCAGCCGAACGGGTAAGTAATTTTGAACTACTGGAAAATCTCCCATCAAAACTTGGGCTAATGGATGCTAACCGGGCATAAGCCAGAAACCAACTTGCTATTCTCGTTTACCAAGCTGATACCTAGAGGCTGTGGATCAATGCACCCGGGACTCCAAAGTGAAGCAAAAATCGACTCATGCTGGCAAGCTTTGGGACTGTTAGGAGTTAGCCAACTATATTTTACAGCTTTATTGTTCTTGCTGTGTTTGGTGGGCAAAAGGCTTCCGAAAGATACACTAGCATGGCATTTCAATACTGGTTTAGCTACCGATAATTTTCTTATAGCTAAAGTACCTCAACGACGGCCAATCGTGCCACCTGTATAGAGAAATCCAGACAACCCTTCGACATCACTTTCCTCCAGGTCACCGACGTTCGGCTGCCTAAGCAGGTTGACCGTTTGCCAGTAACACACAAAAACTTATTTATCAACATCTGTCCGTTTTTGTTGATTTGGATAGTAACAGGATTCGTTTTCCAGTTTTCCAGATTGTGCTTAGAGAAAATACTTTCGTTTTTTCATGCCACCTACCGTTTCGCAGTTTTTTTTTTGTTTTTTTTTCCTAAAGATTCTATAGCTGGATATTACAGTCACGTCCTCATCACAGCCAGGATAACCAAGAAGGACAGTTTATGTTAGATTAGACGTGTTGTCTGCTGTTGAGTGATCGACCTTCTAAGCAACCAGTTTGCCTTATTAGATATCAAACTTTCGGCACTTTTTAAGACTGCATTTTCCATCCACAGATTACCCGGAATAACTGATTGTTTATCATGGTTGGATCTCGTTGCTGATTTCACTCCGTCTTTCTTTCTTTCAATGCACATTATTGGTTCAAAAGGCTGATGTTTGCTTAGAAAACCTTCCCTAAAACTAGCACAAAAAATACTGGGACAAAACCCACATATACAATGTTCCAAGGTAGCATGTTTATTCAACAAAACGGATCGAAAACGCCAGTGACACACCATTATTCTCATTTTTCCGCCAAGATTTATTACGTGCCATCGAATCTAAACAAAACGAAAAAACGTGGGTTTCATGGAATCCCACAGAAATTTTTCAGACAAAATATTCACCACAACTCAAGGTACCGCGCCTAGCATAAGAATACCAAATGGGGTTTTGTTACATAGACTCGCTCAAATAGTTAGCTTTTGAAAAAACGTTTTTCAAAAATAATGACCTTGATTACAAAAGAGTCGTCAGGCTTAATTTATGCTCCACTTAATCAAGCTAGAGAAAATAAAGATTTGTGGTCACCATTGTCAGTACATTTTCAGCTGTCACATTTTTCACCCGGACAAGCATTTTTAGGGGGAGGAGAGGAAGAAATTAGAAATGTTCCAGAAAATACATATATGCTAAACGAGAATTTGCAGCCATCGGAACTAGAAAGTGGCAAATATGAACATGTACGAACTAAAGTTCAATATCACTTCTATCAGTGTGAATCCGAATCAACGAGTTCACATAAAGTGGATCTAAAAGGTTGGTGAAATCCAAGATCATTTGAAGTTTGCACTACTTTGACACAATACAACTTGTATGCGCTGCTCTCTGTGTTCCAGACATCTGGGATTTGTCGGCTAACTATGAACTCCACAAGTATTTTACAAACAGTATGCTTACCTTATCAGACGCAACCACTCCAATGAGAGACTAGTGGTGAAAAGACAGCTTTTAAAGTCAGCCGGGTCCGACTTCGCTATGGAATAGGCTTAGCCATTCGAAACAAACAGTTGCGCATAAGAAATCCTAGAATGAACAGTATGCCTGTGAACGTTGTTGATACGTAGGCATCAAAATCGTAAGTAACCTTATGAGAATGTCTGCCCAAAAAGGAGTGTGCGGGATGATCACGGTAATGACATTGGAAAAGTTACTGTAGCATAAAATTATTATTTCGTTTCCGTCCTCTTTCTTGGGTGCAAGAAAAGTTTTCATACTTCAAAAGTTATTTAGAATCCGGTGAGAGATGTTCCCATAGGTGTCCTAATGAAACCTAAATAAATACGCCCAAAAAGAAATTGTCGATGTTGCATGAACCAGGATCAAGGGTTTGTCGTTTATCCTGTTTTGTTTTTCAGATTGCACCTACTTAATTCTAACAGTCAGGGAAGAGTTTTTTTCGAATGTAG